GTTTTGCTGAATAGTGATGGCCTTGCTCACGTGCTTAGAGAATTATCAGAAATATGCAAGGATAAGAGGAGAGGAAATACGAATGATTGGATCTGTCATTTTTATGTCATGGTTAGATTCTAGACTGCACTTTTTGCCAACTGTACTAAGGAACATGTAGCTGTTGAGTGAAAAGTCTGGGTGAATATATTTAATGTTGTATTTATTTTCCTTTTTTAGGATCTAGAAAAGTTAAGGAAATGAACTGGCATAAATAACTAATTAAAGTCACTGTCCACTGTGCTAGACTACTTTGACTGTGACCTTCTGGCTGTTCCCAAAAAATGTTAAATCAGGGCACCTACTGAAGTTTGCAAAGTTATCTGCAAGAGTATTGGATACTCCTATTAAGTTTTTCAGATATCACAAGTTAACTATATCATATTAAAGAAAACACACTTATATGATAGTATGCAATATAGGCAAACAGATAACATAGCTGATAACACCCTAGGAGGTTATTCTAATGTATCTAGGGAACATGCTTTAAAAATATATGGAGATAGTTCAGACAAGTTTACAAGCATCTTCTGACTAACTGTGTTGTCCCACTAGCGTTGATGTAACATGACCATTTCCAAAGAGGATACTCACAGTTCTAAAAGTAAAATTGACATGCACTTGCAGTAAACATACAGACATCTTTTACCATCATCTCATATATGAAAAATAGTTTAAATGACTTAAGAATAGAGTATTTTTACACTACACTGATAAAGCATTTCCTATATAAATTTTACTACAAGACACACAGAGCTACTGGAAATCTTAAGCCACACAGGCATCATCAACACCTTACCACACACACAGGACACTTCTCCCTTTCACACAGGTTTATATACACTGAATAAGTCATTAAATATTGCACTTATTGGCCCATGATTCCTCAGTTTTGAGGTATTCAAAAAATAGAAAACATATCTATTTTTATAACATATTTTCATGCAACATTTAAGACATTTCAGTTTCACAAACACGAGTATATAGGTTACATGTTCTGACTGTTCAACTGAGCCACGACACTTCTGACATTACTGACAAAATATTAAACAGGAGTTACACACAAACAGTTCATTTAACACTAGTTGCAGGTACATGTCAGAGTTACTCAAATAAAGTTATCGCCAGAAGTGGTACGCAATCCCCAGCTTTCATTAATGCAAGTTATGCGTGAGCCTGAAGTTACTGCTCTTCTGCTTCTCCTTCACTGAATCAAATACCAGGTACCTTATTCAATAAATGGCAAGCCACCTGCATGTGCTGGAACCATGGAAAATAAACATATGGTCTACAGATGTAATCCCACGGATTTCTGGTGCTAATGAGTTCTGGATAAGTTTACTGTGGCATTTACAGAAAGCTGCACTTAATGAGATAAGTAGCAGTTGGAACTAAGTGAGTGTCAAAGACATACTGCTGCATATGCATACTAAATGTGTGTAGTTACAATTCTGATTCAGTGAATATCCATGGATAAACAAAGTAAAATAAAAGGAAGGAAAAAAAGAAAAAAAAACCAACAAATTTGTAAGCTGAACTGCATTCACCTCTTCTTAACAAAGAACTGGTAAAAGTTGTTCAGATAACTGAACTGAGTTGCCTCTTTAAATGACGCTAAACATATGATGAATCTTGGAGTCAGTCTGTATTGAAAAGCCTGTGTGTATGGATTAAACAGTGTAAATCAACAGAACTCACTTCTCTGTTGGCAGAAGTGAGATACTGCTCTACACTCTCTAAAGAATTTACATACTCAGGGTCTCAAACTGCTATATCTGTCATCCTAAAGGGGAACCAGGCTCACATACTCACTGTCTAAGAAACAGGCCAAGGAGGAAAATGTCCTAACAGTCGATCAGCAGGACAGTAATTTAGTTTATGCCCTTAAAAATACAAGCAATAAAACTTGCCAAAGAAATATAGAAAAGAGTAGTTTGTGGGAGAGATTGTTTTTTTAGAATGCAAATGCAGCATCTTTCATCTGCTGTTACGTAACAGAGGCATCATCACCAGATGTAGAATTTATACCACCTTTTTTTTTCCCCTAAACTTGAAAATTCAACTCAAAGCATTCTCAAATATTGGGATCAAATTTCAGCAGAATTTGGGTATCATGAAATACTTTGTTCCTGAAATAAAGAAGGTGCATGTGGTACAGCCGAATATACAGAGCTGAGCAGACTGGGAAGAAAGCTTAATCCTTCAGAATGACGCTCCGGAAAGGCCACAGAAACGTAGTTGCTCAGGTAGTTTCTCTAAGCATTGCATTAAGTATAAGCACAGAGGAACAAACAGTTCCAGGTAACAGTCACGTACACAGCTGTTCAGAGAGAATATTTTTTGACAGAAAATCCAGCTAGCTTATATGTATTTCAAACACCAAACAAACAGATCTAAACAAACTACAGCAACAACAACAAAAATATGCTAGTAAATTAGCTATGCTATAAGGATTAGAATGCTTGTGAACATGAACTTCTGATCAGAATCAGAAACATGTGTCTGAAGGTTAACTCAGCAAGGCTTGCTAGCTCTCTGGCTGGTTGGTGCCAGGAGGCACTGCAGGAGCCAACTGTGTCTTGTATTCCCATGTGATCCCAAGACATTTTCTGAGCACTAGTTTTTCATACAGCAAGCAGTACAATATCAGAACATGATAAGGCTGCTGTACTATCCGTGCACAGGATTAACTTGCTGCTAAAAGCATCAGTATAGATCATAACCTGGAAAATAGTTTGTGAAGTGACGGTTCAGCTGGCACTATGGAGTTCAGGACCCTCTGACCAGAGGCATCTAAACTCTCAAAAATGCAATATGCTCTCTGTGACAACTGTTGTATCTCATCTGTTGGCCTAAATTTTGGTGAAAGAGGTCATTTGTGATTGGAACAATGAAGCTCCATGACAATAATCTTATTTCTGTTCTCAGAGTGACAACAAATTAGTGTAAAGCATGTGAGTACTTCAAAAACATTGAGGCTGTAAATAGTTTTGGTTTTCAATTTAATGAACCAGACATCTTGTATCACTAAAATATCACTGATCCTTTCTCTCAGCAGAACTGTGTCAAATACTGCTTCTGACTCCTCCAATGACTAACTCATAATCAGTGACTACTGGATGGGGGTGAAGAATGATCCATTGGTTGTTGAATTTTGATCCTTGATTAGGCTAGGATGGAATTTCCAAAATATTCAGTAATAACGTATCTCTTCTTGCACTTAAGAAAATTGCAGTTCTGTCTCAGAATCAGTTGGAGTTGAATTAGATTGACGCATGCTTCAGTTGGAGACCCTGTGCTATGAAATAGGCCAAAGCTTAATTTCAACACAAATGAAAATTATACTCCTGTTGGCTTCCACAGAACTCAAGCTAAATTTTCATAATGCTTGAGGAAGGAATAGTAAGTTACTTCCAAGAAGCCCTTCTGTCTTTCATGTTCCTCTGCAACAGCCAGGTTTCACCCTAGGAACGTGAAGTATTGAGAGCTCATGATGCTTGTCATCTGAATCTGACCAAAATTTATGGCAGAAAACTCGATATTGCTGTGAAACATATAGCTTCAAAAGCCAACCTATTCCACTGGTTGGAAAATCAAAACTTGTTTTTCCAACAGTAGGTAAACCTGACTGTTGAGAAAAGTTCTCCTTGAACATCCAGAAAAGTCAAATTTCAGAGGAAGGGAGGGTAAGATAAATCAGGTTAGATGGGACATAAGCAGGTCCCAGCCCAGCCACCTCAAAGCAGTGTCAGCTGAGAGGTCAAAGCAGATCGTTAGGATTTTATCTAGTTTTGTCTGAAAACCTCCAAGGATTTGATGTGAACACATTAAAAGTTAATCTGAATAATTCTGAATTCTATGGCAATGTTTGAGTGTCAATACAAAGAACCTAGGAGTTCTTACATAGTGGTTGGGCCCTGCATTTCTGCTTCAGGTGAGCCCTTCCTCGTAATGTGTGGCAGTCAGTCAGTGTTATTCTGTCAGCTGCTTTCCCCAACCTCCCCATCCCATACAAGAAGATCAAGTATGTCAGAGGCTAGAGGTTTTACTTGTCACAGAGCAAAGGTGAATATTTGCACTTGTAGTAATGCTGCATGATCCAGAAAATGCCCAAGATCTCTTGTGTTGATATCCTCCATTCACATTACCTCTCCTGAGGATATAATATGACTTAAACCTTTTCTAAATAAATGAGAGCTGCTGTTGATTGCTGTCTCAAGGCTTTTCTGCTCACTTTTCTCCAGTATGTATAAATGAATATAACAAGCATGGGGAAGAAAACTGGCCTCCATCCATATATAGCACCCTTGGTGTCCTGTCACTTCTTTTATCTAAGCAGCCAGTACCCAGTGAGTGAAAAGGTGTCACTGAAAGTTCCCCAGCACAGTTGTCAACATGCTCCCGTAGACACGGGAGAGAAAAGTACTGCTCTGTAGGAGGCTGGTTTATCGTATGTATAACACATGTCTCTTCTGCCTGACTGCTCATCAGCTCCAAAGAGGACAGTACTTGCTCTTCGTGAAATTCAGCAAGTGAAGGTTCAGCCTCCCTGTCTACTGGGAAAATAAGTGTTTAAGGAAACTTGTTAAGAGGACATAAGTTTTAAAACCCTAGAATGAAGAAGGATCATTTAAGTTAGCAGCCAATGTTGCCCTCTGGTGGCCATTCCGTTTTGCGTGTGTCTCTATATGCCTTGCTTGAACGTTGTTTTCACCATGTCAAAGTCAATATCGGTTATTTAACCAGTTAAAAAAAAAAAAAAAAGACAACTAACAACAAAGTGTCCATTTTCCTCACTGTCTTTCAGGAGTTTATATAAATTACCTTTGAAAAAAGAACTGTGTACAGAGGGATTCCTTTGCATTTTCAGTACCTTTTGTTACTTTCATTTTCTAATTAGTCTTCCTATATATTTTTTTATTTTTATTTTTTATTTTTTGTATTGCAGACAGTTAGGGAAACGTCAGCCTTGTCTTAAAGCCTACGAACAATAAAACAGTTAATTCCACAATTATGCAGTTTAGCTTAAAAATGTCACTGTGACAGAAATAAAGGTGTTGCATGAAGAACTATGTACTGGACATAGATGTGCCGCCAATTACCATTTTAAAACTGTGGAATATGGCTATTTTTATTAAATTCATTGAAACAGAATTTGTGTACTTTATTCTCCCTTTTTGTATGTACTCCTGTGTACTTCACAGCCTTTCCTGATTTTATAGATACATTCATTTTAACTTAGGAAATGATAACCATTTCTTATTATTCCTAAAGTTATTTTCAAAATCTTTCCAATCTGTGATAGTCTTGTCCAAAAAGATTTCCTCATCAAAGAAAAAATAAGGTCAAACTAAAGCTCATTGACATCAGCAACACATCTACATTAGGTCTGAGTGAAATTAGTAGCCAGTAGGTGATGCTGTCCCAGTGACTAAATGGGAGATACAGTTCCTGAAAGCTTAAGCATGCAGGTATGACAGCAATGTGACAAGACAGTTTTTGGCTATGAACAACTGATTGTAATGGATTTAGCTTTTTTAGGGGTAATATCTGAACAGAGTGTTCAATATCTAACACCAGTGGAAAGAAAAAGAGCTGGTCAGACCTGCTCTGCTAGGGCAGAAACTACCAGGGTGTCTGCATGTTGGAGTGAGAAAATGAGTGAAGTTTCAGAAAGGAGTTTAACAAACATGCAGTACCCACACAAATGTAAGTATATCCTAGCCAGGATGAAGTATCTAATGTCTCTGAGGATCTGCACTGAACACCCACATCCAGTTGCAATCTCAAAGGAAGGGCAGGTAGCTTGAGGTCCAGGAAGGCTGGAGGTCTGCTCCTTCTAACTTCTACAGTTTCTAAGCACACAATGTGTAACATACTGAGCCCAGACTTACTCAAGCAGTATGCTCAAGGAAGTGTTCCTTATACAAATGATCTAGACAGAATGAGTGATTGGCTCTTTGAAGTAATATTTCTAAATTAATTTTTGGTCAGGAGAAAATATAAAATTCCTTGGCCGCTGCCCTAAGGATTCAACTATATAATTTGAAACCAATGATGCAAGTCACATGGCACCAGCTGAAGTAAGTATAATGTGAAACAGTAAAAAGAAAAGAGAAACTAATAGCCATCCTGCATGCAAGAGCCAGAAGCTAAAAAACAGATTATTCTTTCAAACTATTAATATCCCCATCTTCATACATATACTCAACTAGATGCTAATGTAGAATAAAAGATTTTTCTCCCAAATAAATTACTAAGACAGTATAAATAAAGGCATATAGACCATTCATAAATACTCTGTTGGCAACAGAACGCGCTGGAGCTGCCTTTGCTGGTAGCTGCATTAACAGCCACAGTTGGGTTGCTGTGGTGGAGGGGTGTCCTTTAGTCGTGTGTTCTGCTTGCCGGCAGTGATGTTGGGATCTGTCTCCAGACTTTCGGACATTTTGTCACAGATGATATCCACGAGTCGCTCAAATGTCTGCTTGACATTAATGTTGTCCTTGGCACTTGTTTCAAAAAATTCAAAACCTAAGAAAATAAACAACACGTGTATGTTTGATACATATTTGAGACTCTCCAGTCATTGTACAGACTTCTCGACACGGATGTATGTGTGATAAACAGAAAATAAATATGTGAGAGCACATACATAAATGAGTGATATTGCAAAAGCAGTTAAACTTGTAACACAATCAGGGCAACTACATTAGTGTCATTTACTTTATAACAAGTCAGATAAAATACAGACTAGCTCAAATACATTCCCTTAAACAAATTATACATTAAAACAGTTCCATATAAAAACTGACACCAATTTGAGAATCCTATTAAACTAGAAATGCTATGTATATCCAGCCATTGTGAAGGTATAATCTACTGCTCTATCTCTAGCTATTATGCTTCTCTGAGCATTATTCAGCTGGAAAAAGCCATTTGCATCATTTCATTAACCTCGTGCCAAAATAGACAACTATATTTGGAAACAAGCAGGTAAAAAAGCAAACAAGGCAAGGAAAGCTTTCTGCAGTTTGATATCTCCTTGAGATGTAGATAAATCTGTGGGGAAAAATCTGTGTCCACGTCTGGAGCCCCCAGTACAAGAAAGATAGAGATATGTTGGAGATATGTTGGTCCAGAGGAGAGCCACAAAGATGATCAGGGGAGTGAAGCACCTACCCTGCAAAGACAGGTGGAGGGAGCTGGGCTTGTTCAGCCTGGAGAAAAGAAGGCTGTGGGGTGACCTCATTGCAGACGTTCAATACCTAAAGGGAGCCTATGAACAGGAGGGGAATCAACTCTTTGAAACGGTTGATAACTGCAGGACAAGGGGAAATGGTTTTAAGTTGAGGGAGGGAAGATTTAGGTTGGATGTCAGGGAGAAGTTCTTTACAGAGAGAGTGGTGAGGTGCTGGAACAGGCTGCCCAGAGAGGCTGTGGATGCCCCGTCCCTGGAGGTGTTCAAGGCCAGGTTGGATGGGGCCCTGGGCAGCCTGGTCTAGCATTAGGTGGGAAGGTTGGTGGCCCTGCATGTGGCAGGGGGTTGGAGATTCATGATCCTTGAAGTCCCTTCCAACCCTGGCCATTCTGTGAAAAACAGGACCACTACATAAAACCAATAAACAAACAGTTTTTTCTCTTAATTTGTTTATGGAGAAGGACTTTTTATCTATCCATTCCCAATGATTACCTCAAAGGCAATGAGAACTACTGTTAATACAGAAGCCTATATGGAGCAGAACTAGCTTTCCTAAGCTCTCTTTTCTGCTCTGTTTTGTCCCACATCTTATCTCCCATGTCTGTTTCCTGTCAGATTTGTACACTGCTGTTCAGCCTGCAATACAGGAAGTTTCTATCAGTGTCAGGTCTTCTCTATTCTTTCCAATTTCTTTTTTCTGTTTGTTTGTTTGCTTGCTTATTAGTTTACTATGCCTCTTTCTCCCCCCTTGCAGATTATGTTACATATTTTTCTCATATTTGTCTCATTGCTGACTTGAGGATTTCTTAGAAATTTGAAGTTTTTACTTCTGTCTTTCCATTGCTTAAGGTTTAAATAATAAGAGTTTACAAAACATCTACTCCACTGGTAATCTTACAGAAGTTACTTCACTTCTGCACATCTATTTTGATTCTTTTTAATCAGTGCTGAAAAGCAGTGTGCCCTTACTGCCACATTTAGTCAGGAAATATCAGTCACTTCAACTCTTGACAGAAATGCAGGAAACAGCTTTATTATTTATGTTGTGTCAAGCTAATCTTCTATTTCCAAAAGCTACTTAAAACTAAAATTGAGCTACTTAGATAGTATGTTCATCATGTCATCTAAACAGGATGTAATGCACATGTGCTCAGTCCTATAACCACTTGGCAGGTAGTTTTTTCATACCTAGAGATAGAGCAGGTAATTATATCTAGCTTGGCATGATAACCCAGTATGTACAAATAACCAGTGCAAAAAGTTAACTCTGTGTTCTGAGCATTCTTCATATTTTTACTTTATGTTAAGTGCCTCGTGCTAAGAAGTCAGAAAGTTAAATTACTTAGATGTGTAGGAGCTAAATGCAGGCCAATGCTGGTGCTCATAGGTAGTTTAAATATCAAAGCCTATACAAACATCATAAAAGGATTTAGTCATGTAACTTACGGTAATATAAGCAAGAAATAAAATCTCACAAACATGAGCTTTTTTTCCAAGCACATTAGCTTGAAAAATTTTCTTTCCTAGATATTTCTGGAAAGCAGGAAAACTGGGATAAAAGACCAACATCTGAAAATTATATACTGGGAGGTGATTTTAATCTAAGTCTCAAACCAATTTTTCATTTAGTTTAGCAACCTTCTTCTTAAGTAGAAGAAAAATGTGGAAAGCCAGTGTAGCCTTATTTGTTGATGGCTTCAGTGCTCCTAAGGCGCTCCAGTAGGAGAAAACTGTTCAGATCTATTGGGAGCTCTTGGGTGAAAAGGAGGTCTTCCACATTTCCACTGCTTTGTGTTGAAACATGGCTGTGGCTCTGTGACACAACAGTACAGTCAGATCTTCCCACAGCTGTTGCCATCTGCTGCGCAGGAAGCAGGAAGAGAGTAGCTGTTCTAATGACGTTCAATTTGATTTCAAAGATATACATGCGCTACAATCCAAGAGGATGACTGCAGGCCATTATTTCACTCAAACTCTGAGAGCAACCTGACCTGTCTTGGTCAGGCTGCCTTCACCAGGGAACATGCTTGCTGTGCTTGTGCAAGCTGAATATGGACCATGGGCATAACTTCAATAAAATGGCATGAGATCTGGAGTCACTCCCTTGGCTGCTGGGAAAATCACATTATATTTACAATACAAACAAGCCACAGCTCTGTCAGAATATCATTACGACTGCCAAGATAACAGCTCTCTCTTCTGATCATCAACCAGCTCCGTCACATCCCATGGTCCCATGGGTGATGTGTCAGAATTTGTGCCCACTGCATGTTTCTCCTCTTTTCAAATAAATAGAAAGAGATGAAACTGAGTATGAAATGAAAAGAGGGGATAACTGCCTTGTAATCTGTCTAACCCCCAGCAAGGGTGTTGCTTTGATATTTATTACGTTCCCTGCCAGCTCCAACACATTTCAAGCAGAAAAAAAACCCCTACACTTTACAGTATGAGTAAGAGTGATCTGATGTGTGGAAAAGAGATAGCATAAGCACTATGCCCTCGCTATTTGATGCAATGTAAACTGAAAGAGGAGAAAGAAGTATACAGGCAGGACAATAGAGCAGAAAGGCTGACGGACAATTAGATGATGCCTGAGAACTGCAACACCAAGGCCTCTGAAATGACAGGAAGAATGAATCTCTAAGCTGAGCAGTTTTTAAAGGCAAGAACACAGAATAGCTGGCACAAGAGGTGATCATAAAATGGCAGGTGATACAGCTAGACAAGTGATCTGGGCAGTGGAAACAGAAATTGGAAGGAAAAGAGTCACAAAGATCACACAGGAGATTGCTGTCAGAAAATACTGTAACAGAGAGATGATGAAGACAACAGGTCCACTACCACAGTGAGAATGCTCTGCATTTTACTGAAAAATGGAAACCCTCTTTTTCAGAGTAGTATAGGACCTTATGGCATGTTCAAGTACAAATATATTTATTCAAAGAAAAACAGAACAGCTGTGGAAAAATCTGTGGAGTTGAGTTATGGTTTTGTTACAAGAAGAAAATGATAGTTACAGTAGCAGTACAGTTGAGTATGAGGCTATGCCTGTGCATACATTGCCTCTGTCTACTTTTTCATTTCCTTTGTGATTCAGAATCTTCCCAACCTGACCTTGCAAAGATGAGATGATGCACAGACTTGAGACAATGCTCTGACCTATGAAAGGGCGACTGAACTCCCACCTCTCTCCACAACAAAGTACTGAACTTACTGTGTATCTGATCTGTACGGATACAAATTTCAGTCACTCAGGAGGTGGTTCCTTCAACAACCCTGTGTACAGACCAGTTGATAAGCACTATTTCTATGTTTATATATGTTGATAACTACTCTAAATGGTGAAAATGGACAACAGTTCAGAGAGTCTCATCTAACACAGCTGAAGAAATTCCTGCAGAGCTCAGGAGTGGGGCCAGTTTTCTTTAATATCTTTATCACTGATCTGGATGAATCAGTTCCCACTCACTAAGTTTGCAGATAACACCAGCTTGGGGAAGAGCACTGATCTGCTTGAGGGTAGGAAGGATCTGCAGAGGAATCTGACTAGGCTGCATGGATGGGCTGCATCCAGCTCTCTAAGCTGAAGCTAAATGCTGGGTTGGCACTTGTGTAGTGGTGGTGTAGGCTCAGGGAAGTTTAGCTGGAATGTTGCCCAGCAGAAAATCAGCTGGTGGTGCTAGTTGACAGCTGGCTGAACAGGAGCCAACTGTGCGTCCAGCTGGCCAAGAAGGCCAGTGGTCTCCTGGCCTGTATCAGAAGTCGTGCGGCCAGCAGGCCTTTAAAAGTGATTGTTCTTCTGTCCTCAGCCCTGTGATACAGAATGTGCTGTGTCCTGCTCTGGGCTTCTCACTACAAGTAGGATGTGGAGGTGCTAGAACCCATTCAGAGAAGAGCAACAGAGCTGCTGGAGGGACTGGAAAGCAACTATGAGTGGCAGCTGAGGAAACTGGAGTTGTTTGGTCTGGAGAAAAAGAGGGGAGACCTCACTGCTCTCCACAGCTACCAGAAGGGAGGCTATAGGAAGATGGGTGTTGGTCTCTTTTTTTCAACTGAGAAGTGACAGAACATGAGGAAATGGCCTCAAGTAGATCTAGGGAAGATTTAGGTTGAATATCAAGAATTTATTCACAGAAATGCTGCTAGGGCATTAAAATAGTCTGCACAGGGAGGTGGTGGACTTGCCATCCCTGGAGGCATTCAAGACCTCTGGAAGTGAAACACTGGGAAATATTTTAGTGGTGGACTTGATAGTGTTAGGAAGATGGTTGGACTTGATGATCTAAAGGGTCTTTTCCAATCTACATGATTTTAGGACCCTTGCAACAGCCTCCTGACTATCCTGTGCAAGGAATTAAATTCCCCATGTGTGTATTACCTTATGCAAGTGACTATTTCTTCTTAACAGAAATTCTATCCATGAACGTCTGTGGAAAAGTTTCAGCAAGATAGGGGGTATTTTTTCTAGCAGAGAGTGTGAAAAAATACTTCATGTAAAAACTCCTTACTTATGATTGTTTTTCATTTTGTTCTGGGACATTTTGCAGTTTTTTTCCTGGTGATCTCTGCTCTCTTCCTGACTCATTTTGCAAATGCTTCACTGTCTCTAAGCAAGTGCTAAGAGACTGTGAGTTCCTAAAATGCTGGTGCATGATGCCCTTGGATCCATATGCCTTTTAGTACTATCTTCAGGATTTTTTTTTATTGCTTGCTATTAACTGAGAAGAAAGGCTTTTTGTGCGATCATGAAACTGAAGCGAGGCAACTCCTTGGCAACGCTGAGGGCAGCAGAGCTCAAAGAACGCTGTGGTCCTACCACCCATGATGATCTGTACTGTAAAACTGGATGAGATCAGGCAGAGCATGTTACTGGAAAGATATGAAAAAGTCCAAGTTGTACATAGGCATGTTAGGCAGAATGGATGAGAAAATACAGAATATTAAAACACCTTCTGAGCATACGAACATTATGTATGGAAGATGAATGAGGATGCATCTTTTAAATCCCTTTTCTGTTGTTTCACTCACTCTGCTAACCTTCCACTACTCTGTCTTTTCCCTTTATACCTTTTGCCCCCTGGCATTGACTCAGAGGCAGTTGGCATGCTGCAGAAACAGTGGCTGACCAGCACACTGGTATGATACTGTTGCAATCCTGGTGATCTATAGTGCATATAGAATAGTTTCATTAGCACGTCTGAAGCACATTAACGGTCTAATTTACTTATTTTCTTCTCTCTCTGCCTTGCATGTGTACTGGCTCTGCAGAGGCTCTTTCATCATCACTCATTAGCACTTGTTTATGCTTGCTTTCAAAAAATAAGAAAGAGAGCTTCACGCAGAAGATAGAACATTGTGCATACTCTCATATTTCTGAAAAATGTGACATCAAGAGGACAGGCTAACTAGCAAATTTTAGCCACAACACAGATAAGAGCTGTGGTAATGTTTTGCCAGTTGATCAGAAAGACCTTCTGGTTTCAGAGTGTCCGTAACAAAGACAGTGTTATTTATCCTCCCTGATGTTGTGCTGTTTAACAGAGATCTTCAAGGCTGCATTTCCCTTATAGCTATCCTTCCTTCTAAGCAAGGTTGAACTGTGCTCTTTAGTACTGCTCTTTCCAGTTCAACCTAGTATGCTGAGGACCAGTATGACAGTGCAATGTCTGAGCAAGAACTGACTGCAGGAAGCTGCTTCCTTTATAACACAGTGGTGTGCAATTGGCAAAGTCCAGGAAACTGTGGGAATTAATCATTTAATGAAGTCATAGTGCATAAAGGAGAGGAGCTAATGCCTAGTTTTCTTGGATCTGCATCCTGTGGTCAATTCTAAGGGGCACTGGCAGGCACTTATCTTCAATCCTGCTGTGAATAGTACCTAATCAGTTTTGCATTCACAGTGTAGGCTTGAGTTAAGGCAACTGCACAACCTTTCTCCTCTGCTCAGCTGTCTACTTCCTCAGAACTACTTAGGTCTTAGACACTTCTAGCCCTCTCTCAAATAGCAACACAAAGAGACAGACACATGTGGCATCATTGCAAATATCATCCCTTCTGGGGAACCAAACTGAAAGAAGGGGGTCACCACTTTTTCTTCAAAACATTGCCTGCAATCTAAAAGACCTGCCTACATTGTGCTCTGCTTTGCATGCCTAGTGGATGGAACCTGTGCTCTCCAAACAAGACTGTGGGCTATACTATGTCAAGAAAAATATTAAAACAACATTAAGCCCCAAATTGAACGAGTGTCACCAAACTTTTATGAACCTTTTATTAAGGTATGAAGCTTTGAACTTAGCTGAGATACATGAGATCAATTCTCAGAAAAGCTGTGTGAATAATGCAGCTGCTAAATGTGCATACATTCACAAGATTTTCAAGAGAATTTCAAACTTTGCTCACTAAAATACTTCAAGCACATAGATGTTGACTGTTTGGTTGCCCTTCTACAAAAGCCCCTTCCCAGTGCACCTACTTCTGGCCATTATGATAGATGATGTTGTCAGCAGCTTGAAGCTATGACCTTTGGTGACAGAACCCAGTAATGACCATATTTCATTAACAAAAAAACTTTAAAATATGTAAATGAAAATAAGATAAATTTTGTTGTCACCAACATAGAATGTTCATTTCCCCTCAAGGGCAGATATGATTAGAAAATTTCTCTTGGGCAATTCTTAGAAATTCAGTTTTGTTGGCAATTCCTTACATCTCTTCTGAACTCCTGTTATCACTTTGAAGGAGCTGTGTGTAGCTACCACAAGACACGAGGCTAGTTTTGCCAAGGCAGTAGCAGGTTACTGAGACCTAGCATCAGTTTGAGAGTTACACTTGAGAAATGAACCAGTACTGATAGTTAAAGAAATGATTGATTATACCTCTTTAATACAATTGAAGGTCACACTTTTCATGGAGCTCAGCAGCCACAAAGAGGTCCAATTTTCTAACAGAAACTGAGGCCATTAACTGTGTTTTCCAGGGCATTAGACACCCACTTTTTCTTTTCTTGTGTTCACCTTTTAAAATGGCCCCAAATGCACATGTTGATTCTTGAGGTGACTTCAAATAAATCAGGGTTCAAAATAAAAACTCACTTGAGAACAGAGTGTTCCCTAGCCTGTTCTTTCTATAGAACTTACTTACATTATGCTTGCTTATAATTGTGGTTGTTGTTAATAATATAGACCACGCCATACAAAGGGCTTGGAATCTTAAAAAGTCTCTTTTGCAAATCAAGACTTTTTTTTTTTGCAAGACTTTTGTGTATATATATATAGGATTTGTTTTTGTGTGTGTGTGTGTTTTTGTTTTGTTTTGGTTTGTTTTTTTTTTGTTTGTTTGTTTTTGTTTTTTGTTTTTAAACTTGCCTTCGGGAATGGTTATCAGCACACAGATAGAGAACGAAAAAAAGTATGTGAGACAACTCAGTGCCCTTCAAACTGGCGAGAATGTTTCTGTGTAATTCAGTGAAACTCATTCTGTTTTCCCTGACCTCATCTTCCTCAGTCATTGGGCAGATTTAAGAAGTGATTACAGCTGTACAGAAAAAATATAAACATTTTTGTGTGCAGTCTGAGTACAGAATGTGACAATTTGGATCAAAGACACAGTTTATCAAGCATGCCCTTGAGATAGCCCCAGGACATGTATCCAAGAAAGGAAAACCCTAGGGGAGATAAAGGTGGGACTACAGTATAATCTGCTTCAATGAAGAGTGAATTCTGAATCTCAGGAGTCAGCATTTCCTTTAAAACCTGAAACAGGAGTTTTGATATCTATCTCTTCACTCTTTTTCTCTTTTTTCTTTTTCTTTTTTTCTTTTTTGTGTAATGTTTTCTCCACTGAAGACATTTACCTTGGTCCTACTGAAATGAATAAACATTATAAATGCTCACAAAGTGGGTTATATATATACATACACTGCAATAGGGATTTCTGTAAAGAAAGGTATCACTTTCTTCATGCTACTTACAGTAGCATGCTACGGCAACCATTTTGTTTTTATTGCACACAGTATTAAAATCTCAGTTCTTCAAAAATGTTGGCAATTTTTCTTGATATAATGTGTTGCTAAATTGTTTCTGTCATTTTTCAAGGACTATTTAATTCCTGGTAATTTTTTTTATTGACACCTATGAGGCATGCTTTTACACACATGTAGTGCTTAATGAGTTAGAAGTGATATAAAGATTAGCCATTCTGATTAAGTTATTTGGTGGGATAAACAATTCTAGAACTTATTTTTTTTTTTTTTAAATGGGATCACTAAGTTATGAAAATAACATCATAGCTAACACAGGTGAGATGCCACTCTTATAAAACCCTCTTCCCAAAACATCCATGTAAAAATAGTGAATAGGAGATCAGTTACATACACTGTCCAGAAGAAGCCAGACTGTTCCTTTCCCACAGTCAGATCTAAATATAATAACAATCGCATTAACCTCCAGTACTGGCAAGGTCTGATTTGCAAAACTGCTGTGTGTGCTCTCCAGAGAGATTCAGACTGGAGAAAAAGTGGCTGGATAGTATGCTTTGGGGACCTTTCCATCACAAGTGTGGCCAGTCTCAGCCCCAAAACACTTGCCATTATGAAGAAGTATCACTGATGAGCAGGATCAGACAGAAGAGAGATGTTCTGCAATTTTTTGTGGGGACATCCTCCTAGAAAGACACTCTGTGAAACAGAGGGTCATCTTATTTACCTGTGTAAACTACCTGTTCTGCACTGGGAGTTGGTTATTAATGTCTTTCTGTTTGGGACTATTGGCTGTGAAAACCATAATCCGCATGTTCAGCTTCTCAGGAGATCTTTTTGATGTTTAGAGTAAAATATTTCTACAGTCTATCTTCTCAATTTTTTCGTTTTATATCTCCCTTCACTAAAACATATCTACCTGTGGCTATAACCACCTGGACATATTATATATATAATATAGATACATACATAATTTTATTACAAAATTGATAACTCTATTCCTATCTAAGGAGCAGCATAAGTCATGTTTTATCAGATGTCTTAAATCTAAGTCAGCCTCTGAGCCAGCACTGATCTTATGGCCGCTTTTAGATGACATGTCACAGTTCTGTATAAGGTCATCCCTGGACATATCTATTCTAATGACGTTAATGTTTTAGTGGTATCACAGGCAGCTTAGACCTCAGCCTGCAGAAACAAAAAGGAGGTGCTGTACAGTATTTCTGTACAGTGAGTGTTTCATGAACACTTCATTACAAGCACAATAGCAATTAATGAAATTATTTCAAGCATTCTTACAAGCAGTCATAAAGCTTTTGTCATTTTTTTTCCTTACCAAGTTGCTCTGCTAAATGTTTTCCTCTCTCAGTGAAGATTACCCGCTCATCCTCCATGTCACATTTATTACCCACCAAAATAACCTGGGCATTATCCCAAGAATATGTTTTGATTTGAGTGGACCTGAAAAGAAAGACCAGAGAGAAAAAGATAAGTCAAAGCAAAGCAAATTCTCCTTAAATCAATTTCAAAGAGAACTGTAACCAGGAAAACAAACAAAATAATAATTTTGACATCTAAGGTAACATTCTGTTTATTTCTGAATCTAACATAAATGAAGGATTATCTTTCAGGAATTATAGCTTTAACTTTTAATGTTAAAACAAGTCAATCTTTCAGTATTTTCTCCTGTCATCAACATTCTTCCTATATTTTTAGAAAGAAGCTGTGTCAGTTTGTCCCATGAAATTAAAAGAAATATTTTCACATTTTAATGCAGACCTTATCATCTAAAAGCAGTGCCTTGAAACAAAATCAGCAGCTTATTTATATCTTATCTTTCACTTTTTAAAATTAAGGTCTAAACTTATCAGCAAAACTTCAAGGACATCCTGTCTTCCTTCTGCTATTTCTCTCCAGCATGTTCCATAGCAGCTCTTTGATTTTCCAGGAGGACAGCAACATTTCTGTTGTACATTAATCCATGGTCAGGGGCTAAGATTGAACTTTAACTTACCTTCCATTAAATTATTCAAGCTCCAATCTTGACTACAGCTGAACAGAGGTATCCCAGGCATTGAAACCCTATGATGACCTTGAGTGCTGATGGTGAAACAACACCCTACAAAGCTCTCTCTACAATATGAATGGGATGCAGCTAAAGGACAGCATAGGAGCATGCTTGTAACACCTCTCAGCTGCTCTGCTGATACTCAGATCTGCTCTGTAGGAAGAAAGCTTCATGCCAAGACTCCAGGCTCAGTTGGGAGTGATGCTGCTGGCAGCACCTTCTGAGAGCAATACCTGTCCCTGAATACAGCACAGGGAGCAATAAGATTGCTCTAAGTGCTTACACTTTGTCTTGGAGTTCGCTACACCTGGCTTTACATTCTGCCTCAAGTTCTTGGTAGGGTGTTAATATTCTTCTGCCCTTGTAGGATCAAAGGAGAGAGAAATGAAGAGCATCTCTATCTCCTTGGACAATACAATGTGCTCAGGGAAACTGTATCAAAAATCTGCCATCTAAACATTTTGGAAGATGGCTCTTGTGGGTGCTGGTTCACTAGTCCCCTTCTCAAAAGCTGCATATTCCTCTGTATGGTGAGACCTTGTTGTGGCAGAATGATTCATACACAAGAAAGGACCACAGAGTAGTCCAACACTCCCTTATAGTTAAAGAGAGATATAGATCATATCTTCCCATCTGTCTGTGCTTATCACGAGTCAAGAGGGATGGACGTAGGCAAAAGTTGCCTCAGGCTGTCTTTGTACCCATGCCCAACATCGATGGCCTGCTGGCATGAATTGAAGCAGCCTGCTGCAACTGCCTCCAGCCATGTGCGATGGGCCTGTTGTGCAGAAAACAACAGTTTGAAATGGAAGGGTCACAGTGACTTCAGTGTTGTTCTACTTCACCACAATGACCAGAAACGGATGAAGCAAGCCATGCTTCATTTCTTTTTGCTGCACATTGTTCTGTTGGGCCTGCCTAGAGCTTTCATTGAAAAAATGCACAATGTGGTATTTTAACTCTGTTAAAAAATTGTAATAATTTGAGTAAGACATCAAGCTTTTGTGACAAAACAGAGGTCAGACTTCCATTTACACTTTTACTATGGATAGAATTGCTCAGAAGAAAGGGCACCATGCGTTCATTTTGGCAAAAATGCACTTATGGAACCATGCTGAGCTCTTCAGAAATTTGTGATTAAGGAAAAGAGGATTTTTATTATATTTTAACTGGAATTACATTTGTCACCATAGCAACTTTGCAGGAAATTGAAGTTGTTTCAGAAGCAAAATATACAGTAAAAGTATTAAATTTCACAGAAGGAATCAATTGCATATTCTGTAATATTTTCATATTTTCTCTCTCTGTTCTTTTGAGAAGGGAGAGTGAGAGAGCAGCATGCCAAAGCTTGGCTGCCATCACTGAGAAACCACCACATCTGCAAATGTGAAATATCATAAACTGATGAATGAAGAATTATGTCCTGGAGAATATTTTCACACGAATATAAAGAGAATTCATTTAACCTTGTTTTGCAGACTTCCATTCTACTTAACCTTCTCCAGAATATAAAACACCTCATTTTACTAAAGCCAGCTGTGATTTTTCATTCTGTGAATTATGGACCTGTGCATTCAAATGCTTCTCATTACCAAGGCCATTTATTTTATTCTCAGACATATCTATCTGTTTTTCTAACATCTCATCTAGTTGTGGGTTTTTTTTTAAGCAACAGAAAAAGAGATCTTGTCTTTGATAATGGTTCCAAGGGCTCATGTTTTGAAAAGGACTCTGTGGTGCAAAGATACATCTGACTGACTGAGAAAATCAGACAAATATATCCCCACTCAATCCCACATCAGCAGGAACATGGATTCAAAGAATATAATAGGCTTATCACTGTTATGTTTTCTTTTAGACATACATAATGGCTTCCTTGGACTTTTTTTGCCCACAATTCTCCTCAAAAGCCAACACACAGGTCATTTACAAAAGAGATTCTGCTGTTCCTTACGTATATGTCCTTTCAAATGACTGAGGCTTCTGATTAATCCAAAACACAAAACATTCTCTTTGTAAAGAACTCTAGCCTCAGGAAGATTTAAGATATGAAAAGGCAAAGCTGATGTTGGCAGTTAGCTGAATACGGCAATTCTTGTTCAGTCTCACTGCCCTGGTGTATCTCAATAGTAATTTACCCTGTAAATCTTTCACATTCTAGTTGTATGGTATGCAGACAATCTGCAACATGCCTGAATTTTTATATAGACACATGAGGGACAGAATAATGCAAGAATTCAATGATCCATTACTTTCAGTGATCAACACAAGACTTTTTCTACTGGTACTATTCTGCCATAATCCTTATCAAAATAGTACTTGCTGAATGCTAAGTAAAGCAAAGCTATTTTTTCATCCTAAAACAGTGCTGTATTTTGCTGTAATAGTTCAAAATAGTGTAAAGTTACATCAATAAATCTCCAAAGGTGTCTTGGACTGCCATGAGAGAAGATTATCAAAGATAAGATGGACACTTTTTGCTTTGTTTGATGGACTGAAATCCTATCTGAAGAAAATGCTTAAAAGACAGTTTTTCAATCACACTTTGTTTCAAACAAAGCCTAAAGAAAAGGCAGTGTAAAACAGTGCTCACTGCTTATATGAACTCCTATTTCTGCTCCTAGGAAATGCCTTGTAATTCTCACTAGTTCACAAGCTATTTTTCTTTCAGAAATATTCTCAATATTGCTTATTCGATCAGTAGTGTTCAATAGGATTTTGTATTGCTGCCACTTCTGTCATTTACTGGAGAGAATAAAAGCAGTGTTGCCAAGGCAAAGCCATTTATCTACCATTACGTCATTTTTAATGAGCATATAGGTTTCAAAGTGAGTATTACAATTCTTAAAATGGTGAACACAATTATAAAGACTCAAGACACTACTGTCATGCACAATCTCCTCTAAGTCTGGCAAAAAAACCCACCCTGACTATCATTTATAGTTATTACCAAGCATAGTAAAACAGTCTGTAAAAGATCTATATTGCAGCACGTTGTATGAAAGGTATGAACTCAAAGGCACATGCCTATTCTCAGGGTAGACTCTGCTTGAGCTCTGCAAAATGGTAGTAGGGATACTGAAAACAACAACAAAAAGACAAATGTTTCAGAAAAATAAAGCAGGAGACTAAGCTTTGAGAACCAGGTAGTCTTGGACCTCTGAAAATGCAAGAGCTTCAAATTGAATCAATTGCCTGATTGTCCAGGCACCTGTGGTGTGTGTGTGTTCAGGGAGCATGCTGTGTGTATTTGCACAGCGTGATGGAGTGTGGTTCACAAACACCCAGCCCCAGTCAGATGTGCAATGCTGCAAGGCAAGGTCATTAGCACAGAGCATCACCACTGTGAAGTTACTTGTACAGGCTCATTTGTTCGTGTTAAGTTATGTGATTAAAAACTCATCTGCATAATCACAAAGTAGCACAGGGAAGCAATGGAAGACTGAAGAGCCTGAAGAATATCCTGGCCCTGGCTGCTCACAGGCCTATCCCAGGAGCCATCAGCCTGTCAGATATGAACCTACACAAGCCCAGAGGAGCACAGGTGCACAAAGACAGGCAGGAACCCAAACTAAGGACTCAGAATAAGAGACACTAGCTCCAGGCCTCTCTTAGAAGTGCCTCAGCCCTACTGTCCTGGTCCAAAACCAATCTCTATGGGCCAATGCTTTTGGACTCAGTGGGGATGCAGAACATGATGGCATGTGAAGGAAGAGATGCAAATAATGGACTGGTGAAGTTCGAGCCAGGCCAGCTGGCAAGTAGGTTAGGTAGCCTGGGAGCAAGGGGTATTTCTAAGAGGAATTTCACTGTAGATAGCCAGAAAAGTCCTGGCCAGCTGTGTGTCTGCCTCTGTACAAATGGCTTGTACCTGCTAAAACGGGGCTGGGGCATCACAGGCTCCTCCCGGTGCCAGCAGCTGGGAAGAGCATTCCCAGGAGTAGCTATCAGGCAGTTTGTGACTGTTCTCAGCTGACAGGGGGATCCACATCATGCACGTACATACATGTATGTATACATACACATATCCTTGCTAGTGAACCTCCATCCTGCTCTGCCATGGGTGTGCTCTGTGTGTTGTCTATGATCTCTGTGGCCAGCCATGTATGAAGGCTGCTCTGAAATTTTATGATGTTGGCTCTTGACATCAAACACAGTTGGTGATACAGCAGTAGCAGGTGAACCTTCCTGCTAATATTTCATTATGTTCTGTTGCCGTGTGACAGATGGCAGCAGAGGGACAGTCTGACAGAATGGTGTCTGACATGGAGGCGTTCATGAAGCAAAGGTGTGTCACTGAATTCCTCCATGCGGAACAAATGGCACCCACTGACACTTTGATGCTTGCTTAATGTTTCTGGAGACCAAACAGTGGATGTGAGCACAGTGAGAT